ATTTTATTGTTTGCTATCTACTTTTCTCCCTATAGAATGAGCCTTGACAAAGTGAAAAAGGACATTCATCTATGGAAAGAGGAGTTAAGATCCAAGACTGACGCCAGGCCACAAAAGGAGTGGAAGCTCTCTTCCTTGAGACATGATTTAGAACAAATGAAATACACAATGGAGTCCTACAAAGCCGAATTGGGAACCGAATTGCCAAGCCAACTCTCTGTTCAAGAGCAGAAGGAAGTTGATAGGTTGAATGATAAGATTCAGCAGTTGTCCAAGGAAGCCAAAGACGCTTATCAGTAAGTATATACTAGGCGTTTTGAAGTCCTGCAATTATTCGTGCTATTCTTTATAACCCTTATCCTCTTCTCTTACAGTGCGAGAATGAAGTTGGAGACAGAAAAGACGGAAAAAGAGACGCAATTGGAACATAATCTTTTCCGTAAACGAGAAGAGTTAGAGTCAAGACTTGCTGAAGTTTCTGAACAAGATCTTGCTGAACGACTCCAAGAGGCTCAAGAAGAGTTGAAAGAGGTTAGTTTCTTCTACTTTAATGATTTTGGTAGCATGAAGTTTTTTTCTGCTCATGAACGGTGTTCTCTCGTAGGCCGAAAATCGAATTGAAGCGGAAAAGCGCACAGTGGATGAAGTTGAGAGCCGGTTGGCGTCATTAATGCAAGATCAGCGCCGCTTGGAAGCTGAGCTAGAAGCGAGACGTGCGGAAGAAAAGGACTACGCAGAGCGAATTCAAGATGATCAACAGAGTCTGGAGAAAATGCAATCAAAGCAGAGTCAACTCTTCAAGAAAAAGGAGGAGAATATGAAAAAAATTCGTGATCTCGGATCGCTTCCAGCTGACGCTTTCGATAAGTTCCAGGATAAGACTCCCAAACAGGTGTAACATCATATCATTTTATCCATTGTTAAAACTTTGTTCCTTTTTTATTGCCTTTCTTTCTCTTTTTAGCTCTATAAGCTCCTTGATAAGGCTAACCGCGAGCTGAAGCGTTACAGCCATGTGAACAAGAAGGCTCTAGACCAATTCGTTAGCCACTCAGAGGAGAAAGAAAAGCTGCTGAAACGAAAAGATGAGTTGGACAAGGCTCACCAGGCTATTATTGAGCTTATGAATGCTCTTGATCAACAGAAGTACGAGGCCATCACACTTACATTTAAACAGGTCTCAAAGAACTTCCAGGATATATTCAAGAAACTTGTACCAGAAGGCCGTGCAGAACTTGTCATGCATCGTGGAAAGAGGGTATGGGCTTTCTCAATTTAGTGTTTTTTTGGCGAGTAGATATTGGATTTACGAAGGTAGCTTGTGAGGGATTGTTGTCTATGAGAATTTACTTATTTATTTGACTGACTTCAGAGAAGTCTATGATATATATGGCATAGTACGATTTAATAAACTAAGCTAAATATATGACTAATGAGTATGCTTGTTGAAATTCAAGGCTGCAGATGGTGATGAAGGCAGTGATAATGAGGGTCGAGATACCTCAGCAGGACCTATTCCTGATGTGGAACTCTTCACCGGTGTAGGCATTCGCGTCTCCTTCACCGGCGAGACGGCGGACATGCGTGATATGAATCAGCTGTCCGGTGGTCAAAAATCTCTCGTGGCTCTTACTCTCATTTTCGCAATCCAAAAATGCGATCCCGCGCCTTTTTACCTTTTTGACGAAATCGACGCTGCGTTAGATGCCCAATATCGTGCCGCGGTGGCGGATATGATCAAGGATCTTAAATCCGATGCCCAATTCATCACTACCACATTCCGACCTGAATTATTGGAATCCGCTGAGAAGTACTATGGCGTGAAGTTTCGTAATAAGGTAAGCGATTGATTTTGAAATGAAAAGCTATCTACGCTCATTGAAATGTGACAGCATTTAAATAAAGTACAGGGGAAATATTCTTGGGCCGCTCTGAGGAGAAGTAACTCCCATTCCCCCCCCCCTCCCCACCACCAATTACTTCCATGTGCGTCTTTCATGCGCAAATAACCTCTTAAGGACTCTAAAGCCATTTTTTGTTAAATAGCATATAGATTGAGGTTGGGTTTTAATTAACACATCAAAACAGGATTGTAAATTCCAAACATGAAAAAAGGAATGTTTACAAAAAAGTTGGTTAAATATTTAACAAAAAACAGGGAAAAATTCAAGGTTGTGAGTGATCGGAATCTAGAAAAAACAAAGACAAAATCTCAATAACCCGTGCTGAAACGGGAATTCAGCTCCAAATTTATGGAGATTAAAGGAAATGCTTGAAATCTGTGTTTTGAAAAGTTATACTCGTTGGGCACATAAAAACATTAGAAAATCTACTTGAAATACAGATGGAAAGAAAGCACAATTATTTCTTTAACTGCAGGTCTAATTGATCAGCGTAAACGTCCTAAGGATTTCAAAGAAGAGGTTTATTTCCCCATTGATTAAGCGTACTTAACCAGGCAGAACCACCTGAGGTATTCCATTTACGCCTGATAGTACTATTACGGAAATAGACAATTAACTACTTACACTGTTTCAATAAACTACAAGAAGGTTATTTCTAGATAGCCCAGAGTAAACAAAGGCACAGTCAAATGAGTGAACTGTTATGCTTAAATGATGTTGGCACATCTCGATCTTCTCACGGATGTAATAAGGTAGACATAAATCGAAGTGGTTTGACAAATGACCATCAAGTTGTGTATACTGTGGACATAGTCTTATCAATTAAACAGAGAGTCCATTCATCGCATTTAAACACAAGAAATGATCAACTTGATGCTGCTGAATTCAAACAAAGAGAGACTTGATGAGCTGATTTCATCACCAAGTTTTTTAATCCATTTACTTGTGATTCACTTTTTGAATTCCATTGATTTTTTATTATTCAAACAATGAAGATAAAACCATTGACAATGACAGTAGGTAAACCAAAATGGCATTTATTAAGAAAAGCGTTGCTATACATCCCGTGAATAGCCACTAATTAGCATAATCATGTTCACTTATGAAAGTTTGTCACACCAAACTATTCACACTTGGCATTTAGTAATGACAAAACTATTAGTGAAAACGTACCAAAATGACCACCTGTAATGAGCACACATGTTATGCATTAAAAGTTCAATACAGCTGCACAAAAATTAATCCAACTCAGTGAGAAGTGCATAATGGAGCGTTCAAACTAAATCACACGGTAAGAAGAGCAGAGGTCTTCTAATGGACAAATGTTTAAGAAGAAAAGAAAGAGGGGAAATCCTCTGATGATTCAATTCTAATATGTCTAGGAGGTCTAAACAAGCGTCATTGAGGGCCCCTCAAATACGACATATTGTCGATGGAACAACTGGAAGTAAGATGTAACAGAATAGTTAGATAGGAAATTAATGGGGAAAGGGAGAGATGGTGTAGAGTGCAAGACTGACTTACCTTGCTTGGCCAAAATATTACGAAGTTCAAATTCTAAATCCGCATGGCGATCCTCCAACACCTGTTCTTGGAGACTGAAAGGAAGAGAACCAAACACGAATAGGGTTAACTCGGTTCCACTCGATTACGTTTACATGAATGCTACACCTTTCAATCGTCTGGAGGAAAAGAAAGGATTTTACTGAAACCAAATTATCCCAAGAGCTTGAAAATCCAACCATGGGAAACACATGTCTAATTTCGAAAAATTCTCTCAAAATCTCTGATTCAAAAATCAGCAAATGAGGTCGTAAAAGAGCAAAGTTTGACTAGTTGTGGTGAAGATCTCTGGCTTTAGAGAACGAGTTTATAAAGGGCAAAAGAAGACGGTGAAAGGCATTCCTTTGCGTCAAATATTTATGCTGACTAATTGCTTAGTCAATCCTGATGTGGTGGCAGTAAATAAATGAATGATAGTAATCTGAGAGCTAAAATGCCAAATATAATTAGCTTAGCACCCATAGTAATAAAAATTCAGTTAATT